TCTTTAAGCGCTTCCTCAACATTTTTGGCTTCTATCTGTGACACAAAAGCTACAGACATGCAGAAATTAGTCATATTTCTAGTTCTTACCCCTTTTGAGATATCACCAATGATATTGTCCATTGAGAGTCCTCTTGGTGATTGCCATTCTTTTGCTAATTCAGGTGTTTGAGAAGGCTCATTTTCTTCCAAATACAAATCATCAAGAGTCTCTCTTATGTACTCATCGTCACCTGCAAGTTCTTTATTTGACTCAAGAGGATTTCCCCCAATGTCTACAATCTCATCAAAAGTAACATGAATAGATTCTTCAATATTTAAGGTTTTTCTATTAAACACCCTATAAGTCTTGCTAGTTAATGAATAACCTAGAAAAATGCCCCCATCGGCTTTTGAGTCAAATTTTCCTAAGTTGTCCTTTCCATTATTTAACACAAAGCACTTACATCCAAAAATTTTCAAATGAGCAACATTAGGCTTTCTACCATTTAACAATTCATATGGAGTTGATTTTATAATTGACCTAATGAGCATTCTATTTAAAACATAACAAGCAGTACTAACCGCATCAGCCCAAAAATATTTAGGAACATTTGATTCATTTAACATTGTTCTAGCATGTTCCTCTAGTGACCTATTTTTCCTTTCAACTACACCATTTTGTTGGGGAGTCCTAGGAGCAGAAAAGTTATGCAATATTCCATTTTCTTCACAATCATTTTCAAACTTTTCATTTTGAAACTCACCACCATGGTCACTTCTTAAAACTTTAATTCTTAAGTCTTTCTCATTTTGTATTTGCTTTGCAAACTTTCTAAAGACCTTAAACGCTTCACTTTTCATTGTTAGGAAAAATGTCCAAGTATATCTAGAGTAATCATCAACAATCACAAGACCATAATAATTTCCACCAAAGCTTTTTATCCTAGAATGACGAAATAAGTCTAAATGTAATAATTCTAGGGGTTTTGAAGTGGAAATAGCATTCTTTGATTTAAATGATGATTTTACTTGTTTACCTTTTTGACATGCATCACATAACCTATCTTTTTCAAACTTTAACTTAGGCAAGCCAACAACTAAGTCTTTTGATATCAATTTATTCAAATGATGCATATTTATATGAGCTGCTCTCTTATGCCATAACCAAGGGTTCTCTTCCTTAGCAACTAAACATGTTATACTAGAATCATGCAAACAATTTCAATCAATCAATTATATGTTATTATGCCTAATGCCCTTTAAAGTTACATTTTCGGAATCTATCAAGTGTATAGTGCAAAATTTACTTTCAAATATTACCTTAAATCCTTTGTCACATAGTTGACTTATGCTTAAGGAGATTATGCTTTAGTCCATCAACAAGAAGCACATCCTTAATCTCCAAAGTGTTTGCACCACCTATATTTCCAATTCCAAGATTTTTCCCTTTGTTGTTGTCCCCATAAGTTACATATCTTTGTTCTTTAGCTTTGAAACTCACAAATTTTGTTTTATCATCGGTCATATGCTTTGAGCATCCACTATCAAGATACCACATAGACTTCTTTGATTTGGAAGTTTCCTACAAAACAAGAACATAGTAAACTTAGGTCCCCATAACTTTTGGGTCCTTGGGGTTAGAGACAAACAAATTATTTAACAATAGGATCCCAAATGTATTTACCTTTAGGAACACCAAAATGTTTTATTTTACATTTATTTGAAGTGTGACCTTGTTTCATACAATAAAAACATGCATTAGATGTAGCTTTAGGATAAGATGCTTTTCTAACAATAGATGCTCTAGTTCCTTTTTCTACCCATACTCTTTTATTTTTCTTTTTAGCCTTTTTCAAAGGAACTTGATGATATATACTATTTTGAGCTACAACAATTTTATCCTTCTTAAAATCACTTATCTACTTTTTGGCTTTATCTAGCAAATGGTTAAAGATATCTATGTCATATTCATACTCTTTACAAGTTGCACATGCTAAGTTCTTATCATCATTCTCATCTAACACATGCAATTTTCATTTCTAAGGATTCTTTTTTCTCTAAACATGTGATTTTCGTTTTTAAAGAGTCAACCTCCTTTTCGGATCTACTTAAACTCTTCTTCACAACTTTATATTCATTTTTCAAGTCCTTAAAGGCACTAAACAATTCATTATATGCATTTTGCAGTTCATCATAGTTATTTTCATCATCACTAGAAGATGAGTCGGAATCACTTACCTCAAAGTTAGAAGATATGTTGTCATTTGTCATTAAGCAAATATTTGCTTCTAATTCTGAGTCACTTGATTCCGAACTTGAATCACTGTTATCCCAAGCAATATAGGCTTTCTTCTTGAAGAACTTTTTGCTTTTGATTTCTTCGTTCTTCTTATTTGGACATTCGGTCTTTACATGTCCTGCTTCACCACAACCATAACATTTTATATTTACGGAAGTACTTTCTCTTACCTTTCCCTTACCTTTGAATGGATGTCTTCCTTTTTCTTTCAAGAATTTGGTGAACTTCTTTATCATAAGACTCAATTCTTCTTCTTCATTTTCCGAGTCTTCTTCTTCCTTTTTATTTTTACCTTTGGAAATTTCGGTTTTGAAGGCTAAATTCTTCTTTTGATATTGTCCTTCTTCTTCATTTAGCCTTCCAAGTTCAAGCTCATGCTCTCTAAGCTTTCCAAAGAGCGCCGCCATAGACATTGTGGAAAGATTTTGTGACTCCGAGATGGCCGTCACCTTAGGTTGTCATTTCCTATCAAAAGATTTTAAAATTTTAACATTCAATTCATCAACGTCAAAGATTTTACCTAATCCGATGAGATGGTTCACAATATGAGTGAAACGCTTTTGAACGTCGAATATAGTTTCATCTTGTTGCATCCGGAACATCTCGTATTCTTGGATTAGGGAATTTTTCTGTGCTCTCTTAACGTCGTCAGTACCTTCGTGGGTCACTCTTAGCATTTCCCACATCTCCTGAGCACTTTTACAAACAGAAATCCTATAAAACTCGTCAAGGGTTAAAACAGATGAAATTATATTTCTAACCCTAACGTCAAATTGTGCTTTTCTGTTTTCCTCTGTTGTCCATCTAGAAAAAGGTTTAGGAACGTCAACACCGTTCTCAGTAACTTTAGGAATATATGGACCGTTTAAAATAGCGTCCCAAACGCCTCTATCAACATACTCTAAAAAGATTTGCATTCTTACTTTCCAGAAAGAATAATTTTGACCCGCAAAAAGTGGGGGTCTGTTGATAGATGCACCTTTGGCAAAAGTTTGATTTTGTCCGGCCATTTTCGAAAAGTTTGAATGACTATTAAAGCAAGCTCTGATACCACTTGTTAGAATCGCGCAGCGGAATGTTCGCGTGAATGGACAAAAACCAAGAGGGGGGGTGAATTGGTTTCTTAACAAAAATTAGGTTTTCAAAATTTTCCCCAAATTTTACTGATTAAAAAACTGTGTAAACGTAAATAAGATAGAGATAGAGTCTTACACATGAGATTTATACTGGTTCGGATCAAAAGACCCTACGTCCAGTTGTTAATCACTCAAACAGAGGATTAACGTTGTCACTATAATCAAAGTTGTTACAAACAGATAACAATTGAAAATACAAAGTAAAGAAAACACCTCTCTTGAAACCCACAAGAGATGAAGAACAGTTTTCCCCAGAAACGGCACAACACACAATCCACTAAGAACTCCACTTAGTGATACTTATCGCTTCTAGCCCACACCAAGTTCCAAAAGTCCCTTTTTCCTCCAACAAACAGTTCTCTTGCACTCACAGCACTTTTGTTTGAAAAAGGTTGTTCAATTTTTCTGAGTGCTATAGAGAAGCTTAAGTAGAGAAATTAGGGTTTGGGAATTGGGATTTTCGGAACTAGGAGTCTTGGGATTAGGGTTTTTGAAAATAGGTTTAATTTGAAGTTGAAAATCAAAATCTGACTGAAATAATCAATTAAATAAAGTGTTAATCGATTATTATAGAGCCAAAATCAACAGAACCCCAAAACTCTTTGTTTTAATCGATTAAAAGCCATGTTAATCGATTAACAGGCCTATTAATCGATTAACAGGTGTGTTAATCGATTATTACAGTGAACAGATACAGAAAATGGTTTTTCTCACTGTAATAATCGATTATCTGACCATTTAATCGATTAAAGCCGAGGAAAACTGATAAATGTGAATTTTTGAAGCTTCTAAAGTGCAGACTATGTACTGGTTCTCTTAAACTCTAATATTACAGACTCAAACTAATCAAACACAGAGTTATTACACTATAAAACAAGTCTTCAACTCTCTAAGTCTTGTGTTCTTGAATCATCATCAAAATCAACAAGTTTGATGTCCATGTAAGTTCAACATCAAGTCCTTGAATGTTCAACCACCACCCATATTAAATTCATAAAATAATGGAAGCATAGGAAAAACTTAAAAAACGCTATCTAAGACCAAAAAATAAGAAATATTTAAGGCATTTTTAGGCTTAGTGCTCGAGCAAAGACCGAAGAGAAACAAAGAAGATTGAACGGAAGGTGGTATCCATGGGTAAAAAATAAAGTTCTAAAGATCAGATTTAACTTCATTCAAGATTTTCATAATAATTTAACTTAATATCAACTAATTTTAACTATCCATGTTAAGATTTCATAGGCGAGATTTACCTCTCTTATAAAAGGGAGTAAGATTTAATTGCACCTCCCTCTCTCTTTACCCAAAAAAAAAAAATTCTCACAAAAATGTAGAATGGAAATACTAAATAAAAATATTACTTAATAATAAAATAAAACTTAGTATCATTTCTCACTTTAATGATATTAATCTTACAAGCGGTGATAATGAGAACTTCCTTAAGGAAAAACATAGCTACATATATCTTCCAATTAATCCAGTACAGTACGGAAGTATTATGCAACCACGATTATTGAACTTTAAATTTGGTGTATCTCTATATGTATATAGCCTTTCATCTTGAGGTGGTAGAGATTTATCACTTCATGGAGTTGGGATTGGCTTGTGAATTGGCAATGGTGGCAGAAGTTGTTTCTTGAATTTGTGATGAAGTGGTAGTTTATGAATAGGCTTTGGTTTCAAAAATTCCTGTGACTCAACTGCAGGGATAGGCTTTTTCACTGTAAATGGTTTCGGTATTGGTTTAACAATGGGAATTGGCTTTGGAACAGGTTTAAGAATAGGAATTGGCTTAACAATTGGAACAGGTTTAAGAATAGGAATTGGTTTAACAATTGGAACAGGTTTAAGAACAGGAATTGGCTTAACAATTGGAATTGGCTTTGGAACAGGTTTAAGAATAGGAATTGGCTTAACAATGGGGACTGGTTTTGGTATTGGCTTATATACTGGGATATGAATAGGCTTAACAACAGGAATTGGCTTTGGAATAGGCTTAACTATTGGAATTGGTTTTGGAAAAAATCCTTTGAATTTTGCTTCTTCATCGTGTCTTTCAAGACTTGGTTTTGCAAACTCTCCATTGACAGCACCCCCATCTGTGTTCACTTCTTTCCCTACATCAGAAATGCAGAAACTTTTAAGATAAAGATAGATACTGTTTTTGTGAATGTAACGATTAAAATGAACAAATATTTATAAGGACGAACACAGAAACATGTGATCATATTTCCTAAACTATAAAAGCCTAGCATGAGGCACAAACCTGAAATTTCAGTTGTGGCCAGAACAGAAGGAGCATAAGTGAAGCTAGCAAGCAGCAACAAGGGAACCCAGAAGGGAAAAAGTGAGCATTGCAGAGTGGAACCCTTACTCATTTTGGAAAGAAACTAATGAAACCTGGAAAGGGGAATATCTGAAGGCTTGGCTCACTCTTCTTCCATACTCCCATTATTTATAATACCTAGCTTTGGACTAATATTGGTCCTTAGCCATTAGATGCTCTGAAATACACTCCGAGATTATTGTTGATTTGGTTTAAGGATAATTAAGTGGGTGGTTGCAACTAGTACATATGTTTAGAGAAGTCAATAGAGTTTAACACCGTTGTTGTTGCTGTGATAATGCATGCATGCATGCATGCTCCCTCTATTAAATGAGCCTCCCAAATTTGGTGTCTTTTTTTTTTCTTTTCTTTTCTTTTTTTTGAGTATTTGAGAAGAGAAATGCTGAATGGCAGAAAAGTTTGTAGCTAGAAAAATTGGAACGTAAGAATCTGTGTTAGGTATAATACTGCATGCACCATGGGAAGGTTCAAATATGTTAAACTTCGTGTACTTTTGACTGTGTAGCATCAAAATTTTAAAATATAGATAAAATGAGTTAAAAAAATTTATTGGAATGTAGAATATACCACACTCAAACGCAATATACAATGGGAAAGATAACTCTGTTCATCAGGGTTTTACATGTGAGAATCTAATTATCCTATGTAGAATACTGCTCGCATAACCTTAAACTTGGTTCGATAGTTCCTACCATTAACTTTTTTAAAGGAGCTAATGACATATATGGAATTAGAAAAATAATTACAAGATGAAAGTCACAGTTTAAAAATGGTTTCCAACATAATTTTTCAAAAATAGTTCAAAAACCTTTTCATTAAATGTATGATGTGAAAGTCAGTGAAGCTAACTCACACGATTTATTTATAATGGGTTACATCAAGAGTTAGTTAAATCCGATTTATATAATGGGCTAAAAATTTTATAACTCAATCCAATACGAGTTAATGGATTAAATGGGTTCAACCACTTAATATGTATATTTTTTAATTATTTTTTATTTTTTTAAATTATTAAAATAAATTAATTGATTTAATAATATAAATAGGTTAGGTGCATTAATTTATTAACATTTTTTTCTTTACGGATTTACATTAACACAGATAGAAAAAAATTAAAAATTAAGAAAAATAATCAATTTACCACTAATATCTAACTCAAACTGGTTTAATATATAAGTGAACTAAACTCATTTTAATTTATTATTAAAAAAATTTAATTTTTTTCAGCTCAAATATATGATGAGTTAGATTGGCTCTTGTGTTGAAACTCGTATTGAAACACCTGATTACATGTTCTCCCAATTTATAAGATATTATTTGATTTTTTGTTTTTTCATGAGACTCTTTTCTAATTATTTCGTGTATTTACTAATTTAAAAACACCTTTAATTATTCTAATTCACAAATAATAAATGCTTCTTTCTCTACTTTATAAAAATGATGTAACTGAAGAATTTAATTTTAAAAATTAAAATTTCATCACTTTTATTCTCACTCCATGCATTAATTATTTAAGAGTAATTTTAAAAAAATATTACAGTAAAGACAACTTTATCATTACTAACTAAATTACGTAAATTTTAGAGTTTATGGTGAACTAATTATGAATTTCTTATATTTATGGAGAGTACTTTTTAAATTCTTATCAGACATTCGTATTTTGAATCACTATTAACAGACCTGTATATATGCAGCATTAAGCTAGTATTTTCTTATCATGAGATCAGTTTTTTCTCCTATTAAAACTGGTAATGTATAACCTCTGCATATTTTAAACCTTTGTAGGATTTTCAACCAATATTCTCAAACTATATAAATATCCGTCCCATTGCTTAACGGTTTCATTGTAGTTTCTATTCGGAAAAACCTAATGCACTCATTTAATAACACCCTTTAATTAAGTTATATGTTTAATAAGATTTATGTTTTATTTTTAAATTCCTCAATAAGTTCTTGAACAATTTGAAATTTTTTAAATAGGATTCCTAACATTTTTTTTAGTGTTATAATTATTTTTAATTAGATCTTTCTCATTTATTTTTCTTAAGTTAAAGGGAGATATCTTAAATACAAGTTCAAAGACTAAATTAAATAACATAGACCAGACCTGCAGATTAATATATTTTACCTGGTATTAATTATTCATGTTGAGATTTAATAGTTGAGATTTACGTCTCTTATAAATTTAATATAAGATTTGATCGTCTCTTTCTTTTTTATACACAAACACAATTAAATATCATCTATCAGAACCGTAAAATAGAAATGCAGATTAAAACAACAAAAAATTAAAATTTAATACCATTACTTACTTTAATATAATCAATCTTACAAACAGTAATATCGAGAACTTCATTAAGGAGAAACATTAACTATATATTCCAATCAAGTACACAAGAGGGGTACGAAAGGATTATGCAATCATGACTGAGGTTGACATGTGGTGTATAGGTATTAGAAATGGAAGGGATATAACTTTAAAGTTTGAGGAGGCGGAGTGTGATTTTATGGAGTTGGAATTGGCTTAACAATGGGAAATGGTTTTGGAACAGGTTTAAGAATAGGAATTGGCTTAACGATGGGAATTAGCTTTGGAACAGGTTTAAGAATAGGAATAGGTTTAACAATGGGAAATGGCTTTGGAACAGGTTTAATAACAGGAATTGGCTTAACAATGGGAATTAGCTTAGGCTTAACAACAGGAATTGGCTTAACAATGGGAACTAGCTTTGGTACAGGCTTAACAACAGGAATTGGCTTCACAATGGGGACTAGTTTTGGTATAGGCTTAACAACAGGAATAGGTTTTGGGAAAAGACCTTTAAATTTTACTTCTTCATTTGGAATCGGCTTAACATCTGGAATTGGCTTTGGTGTAGGCTTATAAAATGGAATAGAAATAGGTTTAAGGACAGGAACTGGCTTTGGAATAGGTTTAGCAAATGGAATTGGTTTAGGAATAGGTTTAAGAATGTGGATTGGTTTTGGAAACAATCCTTTGAACTTTGCCTCTTCATCATGTCCTTGAAGACTTGGATTTGCAAACTCTTCATTTAAAACCTTCCCATCTGTGTTCACTTCACTCCCTACATAACAAATAAGGGATGCAGAAATATGTGTAAGTCAAAAATTGATCATACTTTTCTGCTAGCTCCGAACAGTTCGCCAACAAATCTCTCAGGAAACTGCATATACTCTCTAGTTGGAGATATTACTGGATTGGTCAAAATCACAAACTGTGTGATGTTAAATGTTGAATAAATTTAAAAATACATAATTACATTTCATATGAAAATTATAAATGATTAAATTGAGTTCTGAAGACAATGATATATTTCATTCACTGAAATCATTGGTTAGGGTTGATCATCATTAAATGGTAGGTACTAATTTATATGTATGTCAAAGTATGGATCCAATCTTAACCTTGTCTATGCATAAGTCTTAGTGTACATATTAAATAACAAATTGCTTACTTTTAGTCTCTTATAAAAATTATACTGTTTTTATAAATGTAATTGTTAAAATGGATAAATATTTTATAAGCACTAACAAAGAAACATATATGATCATATTTCCTGAACCAACAGCCAAACAAAATTATAATAATGTATGTGTGGGTAATGACATAAGCCACAGACCTGAAATTTCTGATGTGGCCGAAACAGAAGGAGCATAAGTGAAGGTGGCAAGGAGGAAGAAGGCAGCAGAGAAGCGCAAAACAGTGAAAGGGTTTCCCATTCAGAAAGCAAGTAATGAAAACTGAGAAGGGAATATCAGAAGGCTTGAGTAACTCCTTTCCCATATTCTCATTATTTATATTACCTAGCATTGTTCATTAGTCATACTTGTTTTCAAATATACTCCGAAATTATAGATTTGCAACTTTGACTAGAGGTGGTGTCTGTCAATAGCATTTAACACCGATATTGTTGCTGTCATGATATCATTCCATTAAATGATCTCCCAAGTTAGGTTTTTCTTTTCTTTATGGATGTTTCGAGAAGAGAAAATTCTGAATGACACAAAAGTTCATTAATAATATTGCCTTTACTGGAATGCTTACGGTCACTGCAAGATGAAATTATTATATGATTGTACTCAATGCAAAATATATTTATATAGTTGTTCTGATTATTAGTATATCTTTTATTTATAATTTGTATATATTTTTATTCATGATTTTGTTTAGTTTGTTATCATCAGATGCCTCTCATATATTATTCTAACAGCTCATAACTACTGAACCATCAACACCAAGAAACAAGTTTAAAGTTTAATTTATTTATTTATTTTTGGTAAAAAAAAAGGTGGTATAGAACAGAGTTGAAATTTTGTTACAGTTTTATCCATTACAGAAATTCATGTGATTTTATTTCACGCTGTAACCGGAGGTTGTTGTGATTACAGATAATTATGTAACAGTAACATTACCACTGCAATAAGTGTTTCTGTTCACAATTTATAACCTTGGTTGAAACAGCATGCATGGCTAGCAGAAGTTCTTATGATGTTGACTCTCTCTCTCTCTCTCTCTCTCTATATATATATATATAGCTATTTCTAAAGTTACAGGTGAAGTGAGTTAAAGAAATTTAATTAAAATTGAGTATGCCATACTCAAACACAATGCAAGGTGAGAAAGATAACTCTGTCATCAACGTGTTACCCCACAATCACATTGAAATAATTCCTTCTCCTATAGTATTTAAGCATGACTAGGTCATTGTCTTGTATTTGACGCAACATAGGTAGGATCCTGCTGCATGATTTTGGCTAATTCTGATATATCACTTGAGAGTTAACATCCAGAATATACGATGACCTTTATAATAAAGTTCCTAGTACTTGCTCCATTATTCATATATATATATATATTGTTCAGCAAAGAAAAAAAAAATTGATTGAATAAGTACAAGTTGTACAAAAAAAATACGAGATAAATCCTAAAGGCTGGACCATTTAGCCATACTTACAAACATATACTGCTATTTGTTACTATTCTTCCTCATAGTACTTGCTCCAGAGGCAATAAGACTCTAAAAAGCACCACCTCTACAACATTGACAGAAATTCTAGCACAAAATTCCGACTACATATAAGATCCTTCTCTTCCTTCGTTAACCACAAACCATAGGCAGTGAGCCGTTAACAGGTGTCTTACACCAGGACTAATACAAGAGTATTGAGGTAAGTCACTTTACTTATTATTTCTTGATTTAAGAGCATTTTTGAAGCTAGTTATTTTATTGATAAATCATGCATTTAACATGTTTTCATTCAAAATATAGCATAATTCAGTTTTTTTAATTTGTTACATCTTACATAGTTTTAGCATAATAAACAATATACATACATACATCTATAGTGTATATTTTTTTTGCTTCTTTTGTAGGAGAGACAATTTGAGATAGGCCAAATTGATATAAAGAAATATCCAAATTGATGTCGTCAAGTTTCACTCTTCTTAAAAGTCCAAGTTTGTTTGTGTAGCCCACTTACAGAATGTTACAAATGGATATTTTGAATCAAGCAAATGAACTGGTGCGAGAATCCAATTTAGTTGAATTAAAAGCCAGCAGGAATCAATAATTAAATGCAAATCAGTGTTGAATCACTCAAAATAGAAAAGAAGCATATTATTTTTTCTAAATCAATCCCTAAAGTTTCTCTTCACAGCAATCAGATTTTGCAATTATTTATTTGAGAAATATTTAATTTTATTGTAATTAATTTTAGGCATAATTTCTATTGTTCAAACCCCTTTAAACAGAGGTTTTACGACAACACACAATCACAATCTCATAGTTTGGGGTGAGAAATGTTGTTTTGTCTCGTCCCTAGTTTTTTTTCCTACTCTCAATTCGTAGTTTAATTTTTTGTTAGGCGAGTTCATCTATTGCCACTGCATACTAGTTTGTTCTAATTTATTTAATTTGCAATTTTTATTGAATTTTTCAGTTTATATTATTCTAGTTATTTTATTTATTCCGTGCTCATTTTGTAATATCCTAATTCTCAGTATTCCTGGTTTGTTAAATTTTGACAAAATTTTTGTCAAAATTTTAATAATTAAATTATTAGGAATTGAGTAAAGCGACTCTAGAGTTTTATGTTTATTAGATTATTTATGATTTTCTGAAATTTTTAGAAAATACTCAAAATTGACCCATTTTGCAGGCAGTTGGGTGCTAGATAGTAATTATATGTTTTAAGGTAGAAAGTGGAAGTAAGAGAAGTAATTAAATTAAGAATTTAATAATAATGTAGAGATAAGGAGTGGATCATTTGGTTAGACCCTTATCATAAGATTTGAGGGTCATGAGTTCAATTCTTGTATGTGCATTAGAATAATTATAATTTTTCTATTATTTTATAATTGTTAGAAAATACTCATGTGTGTGCATGAAGTATGCTTAAGGACTTAACAAATTTTAATTGTCACATTTAGAAATTATTGGTTGCTGGTTGTTTTCTTGTATGAAATGAGCGTGGGTACATTGAAATTTTACTATGTGCGTGAGTTGATAAGAAATATATGATGGTTAATATGGTTTGGAGTAATGCTTGAATCTTATGGGTTGTGGGTTCAAATAGGAGAAAATAATGCATAAGTTTTTCATAATTTAATCCGCTGAGCACACGGGGATCCGTTGAGCGGATAGTGGCTTGAAATCTCTCTATTACTTGCGGCCTCATATCTGCTGAGCAGAAATTTAGGTGTAATAAGAATTAGAAATTTGACTTTTAAAAAGAGTGGCATTCTCTCTGCAAGTTTTTCGTAGGTTCCTCATTTCTCTCTTTCTCTCAAAACTTTCCTACCTTCAAGCTTGATTTTGAGGGGGAAATCTTGATTTTCTCAATCTCCTCTACACTTCTACAGTTTTATTTTTCAAAACGGTGCATTTTCAATTTTTCTCCTCACTTGGATGAGCTTGAATGGGATTAGGAAGAGTGTTATTGTATGTTTTACACCTAGGATGCTAGAATAATGCTTAGAGTTGAGGATTAGAAGTGGTTGACCTAAAAAACTTTAAGAACCCTAATTCATAGGTACTGTTCACTGAATTTCTAGGACTTATGTGAACAGAATTAGGACTTGATTCCTTCATGAAAGTGGTAGCTCTTTAAGTTGTCGAAATTTAGAAACTCGTTTCACATGAAACAGATATTTTTAGCTCAAATTATACCCATTTTACTGTCAAGTGTTCTAGCTGTGACGTTAAGAGGTTGCCCTATTTCAATAGCCTCGGTTTTTGAATTACTGGGATTGATATGTGTGAAATTAGGACTTGATTCCTTCATAAAAGTTGTAGAAAATTATATTCCCAAAATTTAGAAATTTTTTTCATGTTAATAGCTTATGTGTAGCATGAGTTATAGTCAAATTTCCAAGGCATGTTCAGAGTGTTATTGTAGTTGAGCCTTGTTGGAAAAAATCACTATAAACTGAAAACTGCATTTATTTTATAGGGTATTTGAATTTATTTTCTTCATCAATATTGTAGAAAATTAAGTTATTGAAATTTTGGTTCATACCTCATGCCAAAAAAACTTATATAACTCTAGAAAATTCTGAAATACTAAACTTTGTCCATGTTTGCTATAGAATTCTTCCTACTCTAAAGGCATACAAAATAGGATAATTTTTTAAGTTAATTGTAAGTTGAATGTGAGCTTAAAATATTATTAGAAATGGATTAGCAACACAAAGTGAATTTAAATTCTCATGACATAGAAACATAAAAATATAAAATTCTAACTAGTATTTTATTACGTATATAGATTTTGCTGAAACACAATATCAAGCTTTGAAAGGAATAAATGTGGACGTATCAGGCAAGGAGTGGGTTATATAGTAAGAATTACATCATAAACTTATTTGACCTTATTTGTTGAAGTTGTATAAATTTGTTATAATTGATAATTTTGATTTCATTATATGTTTGGTTGTGAAAGTGATAATGAATTATTTACGTGTATGATGGTGTAAAATACAGGTTTGATACTCTATTATGATATGTATTATCTTTGAGTGAGCATTTATATGCATGGTGGTTTTCCATGAGAAAGTTCATTGAAAATTAAATTGAAAGAATTGGATGATGGGTTGTGAACCATTTTTGAACTGTATTGGAAGTTTTCTACCTGTAACAGGTGATTGGAAATTTTTGGGAAGTCTGTATTATAGGGAAAACTCTGTCAAAATTTTTTAAAAAATGTGACTTTCTAAGAGAAACCACTAAGAGACTCATACATTACTCATCTGAAAATGGTGATTTATGAAATCTAGGGAATCAGAGATTATGAACTCTGAGAATACGATAGGGAGGCCCTGATGGAGGACTTGAGGATAAGAAGGGTAGTGGTTAGAGACCCTAAAAGACTCAGGTTTGCTACCTAGTATCGGAGATCTCACTGTACAAACTCTTTTGTACCTGACTGTGCTTTTACCATATATCAATAGTAAGTGAGCTACTAGGTTTATATTTAAGCATGAGTCTCAATAATTCCGTTGGTGGATTTTCCATGCCTAGTAGTGTCAACTCCTAACTACCCCAATACTGATTTGAGAAATGATTTGGGTCCGCATGCATAAATATTTTAGAAAGCGTATTAGAATCATGCATCATTAACATCAATTAATTGGAATTTGATTGACTTGTAAATGTTTATGATGTTTGATTTTAAGATGATGTATGAACTGTTGTTCACCCTCTTGTCTTTCTGTTTTCTTTATTTCCTTTGTACTTGTGGTACTCGTTGGACCTGATCAGTCATTGTTTAAAGAGAGGAGAGATAGCAAAGATTCCACACCCGATGAATATGACACTCATACTCATTAGCCGGGAGCCACAATGATGGCAACATGTATTGAGATAAACATATCCAAACTTTTATAGGCAGTCTTTTGTAGTACATAGACCTACATGATACTGGGTAGTAGTCACTCTTTTGTGTAGCTTATTGCTCTGTAGGAAGTTATCCCCAATGTTACTCTCAATATTTTAATGGAATATTGTACTAGTATTTTATCTATATGTAATTATGAATGTTTACTTTTAGTACTTTCTAAAATGATGAAATGCAGGAATGAGTTATTGAAAATTTACATGTTAAAGTTTATTTTTACGATTAATGCATTAGTTTAATATATTAATATTATGTATGAGGGAAAGATTATTATTAGTTTTGAAAAAAAAATTCTGCTAAAAATTATTAATTCTTCTAATAGAGGGTTTATAAGGTAGGGTGTTACACATTTTAATTTCTGCTCTTTAATTGTTTAGAATTTTTATTCCGAGTATTGTATAATTTTTATTTTCAATTCGTCTTGTTTCCAATTCCAATTCACAATTTAGTTTTAAAGTTATCACTTTCGAAATTTCAAATTTAATTACTTGTATTATTTTATTTCAAAACAATTTTTTATTCTTGCATTTTTAATTAAAACCACTTTAATTTAATTTTATAAATTTTAGTCATTCTGCATCAATTTAATTTTAATTACTGCATTATTTTGTTTTAAAGTAATTTTTTATTCATGCACTTTTAATTAAAAACATTTTATTTTAATTTTATAAATTTCAGTTATTTAAATTTTGTTTTCATCTATTTTAATTGTTGTTAATATTTTATAACAATTTATTTTATTTTTTTATTATTCTGCATCAATTTATTTTCACTTTTTCATTCATCTTCTATCTACTGTTTTTGAGAAAATTATATGTGATAATGAGTATATTTTTATAATTGTATTCTTGTAATATTCGACACGAGTTAGTTATACTATATTGCATTAATTTAGTAACTTGTTTATTATTTTTTATCAGTATTTTGTGTTATCGAAATATTGTTATCAAGGATTTTTAATAAATAAAATTGAGTCAACTATATAATAAAATATAACATCACACGTTTAATCCAAAATTTTAATACATTAAATTACAAATTTTTACTATTTATAAATTATTCATTTTTTTATTTTTAATCAATACTCGATTTTTTTATTTCCAATCGTTACTAGATTTTAATTCACTTTTAAATTTCATATACGCAGGACCTTAAATCACAACAGTGGTGAAGAATAACCCGTTGTTAGCATAATATTTGTTTCATTGTATCCATGTAAACATGAATGAAGATTCATCTTTTATCGTTGATTCTTCACGTTTGGACAAACTTTTTTTATTCTAATAATTAAAATTACTTATTATTTTAAACTATTAAGTTATTAAAAATAAATAATAAAAATAATAAATAATTTTTTAATTCTTATTTTTAGAATTATATATATCCCTTACTCTTTAATTTTTACTGTTTCGATTTCCTTTATACCTACTAATTTTTTTATAAAAGGACATGGATTCGTCCCTTAACAACTCTTAAGTTAAGATCTCTCGATTGACATATCTAATTTATTCTGAAAGTGATTTTAGCCATTAAAATTATTTAATTTATTTTATTATTAAAATACTATTAAATAATATATAAAAACTATGAATGGAGGAAAAGCATTGAATGGACATTTTCATGTTAATTTTCAATGGAAAGAATCTCTACCTCACTTCTCTTATAATTGTCTACGACAGCGACCTCGTGACCATTTAGAATGTACGTGTCATATTTAGCATTTTTATAGGCCCCAAGCTAGCTATGATAACTGTTCTATTTATGTATTTCTTTTGCTGTTGACTTCATTGTTGTGATTGTGAACCTATCTATTAATTATGAATTCAAGCCTGCTAATTAGTATGAGGACTTCTCCTGTGTTATCAATATACACCAACATATTTGTTTGTATAATTTTATTGGACGAAAGTTTATTAGAAATGGTAAAAAATAACAAATTTCATTGAAATCAGGGCTATATTATAGCATTTGGATCAGCTACATTTTCAAAACGAACTTCATTAGTTTTAAAATAATAATAATAATAATGATTATAGATTAATTTTAAATTGTTAAAATAATGGAGTACCTTGCTGCAATCTTTTTTTAAAAATGGCGTAGATCATATTTAGCTTGACAGTTTTGTACGAATAGGCATGCTGAAAATGGAGTCACACAAGATATCATAAGGAAATACAAATATTATTTTAACCAAAAATAGAGATTCATTAGTTCTATTCTTGGAATAATAATAATAATACATAGAAGGGATTTACAACACAATGCTTACAACATTATTGAGACAAATGCTTTAACCGCATATAATATTCTAACACAATTCACATGATGGAAATAAAATGGATAACATTTTCTAACCATGATAATCTTATAGAATAAAGATCCTATGATCATACATGGAGTTGGAATTGGCAAATGTGGTAGGTGTGGTTTCTCAAATTGGGGTGATGAAGTAAGTGGAAGCTTAGGATTAGGGTTTTTGAAGAAAGGCGTTGGCTTAAAAAAAAAACCACTATGGTTTATCAAGGGAAGGGTTTTGGAATAGGTTTAGGAATGGGTTTAAAAATTGGAATAGGAATAGGTTTAACAAAGGGTACTGGTTTTGGTATAGGCTTAATAATAGGAACTGGTGTTGGAACTGGCTTAAAAATGGGAATTGGCTTATAAAAGGGAACTGGTTTTGGTACAGGCTTAAACACTGGAATTGGCTTGTAAACTGGAACTGGTTTTGGAATAGGCTTGTAAAACGGAATCGGCTTTGGAACAGGCTTAAAAATAGGAATCGGCTTGTAAACTGGAACCGGCTTAGGAATCGGCTTATAAACTGGAACCGGCTTTGGAATCGGCTTATAAACCGGAACCGGCTTATATACTGGGACTGGCTTTGGAATTGGCTTATAGACTGGAACTGGCTTTGGAATTGGCTTATAAACTGGAACCGGCTTATAAACTGGAACCGGCTTCGGAATTGGCTTATAAACTGGAACCGGATGAGGCGTGTAAACTGGAACTGGCTTATAAACCGGAACTGGCTTGGGATAAGGCTTAAACACTGGAATAGGTTTTACAAATGGCACTGGCTTTGGTACAGGTTTAATCAATGGAAATGGTTTCTTGAAGATTGGTTTATGATGATGAAAAAACTTTTCCTCTTCATAGCCTCCATTTAGGGTTGTTTTTGTCACCTCTTCACTTGCAAGCTTCCCATTTGTGCTCACTTCATTCCCTATATATATAAGAAGATAACACGCACGCATAATATTTATATAATATCAATTGATTTTGATATAGGTTCATGCAAACAGAATTAATATATAAACTAAGCTTTAATCATTGGGTAAAGTCAAGTACATGAATGAAAACCATTTTCTGTGTATTTTTTCACTTAAGTAAAAGTCTCAATGAAGAAAAAGTATTATGATATATATAATGAAAAAAAATAATAGATTACAAAAATCATCCAAGAACGTGTTTCTCTATGATCACATGCATGCCGGTGCAAAATTAAATTATGAATATATCAGTCAAAGACAAACTATCGAGCATAGACTGAAAAAGTAATTAAGGATATATAAGGAATAGCTTTAAGACATTAAGAAATCTAAACTATTATAATTTGTTTTGTTCAAATTCGTATAGAGAAGACTACAATATAGAAATGCATTAATTAAATAAAAACTTTCCATTTTGAATTCTTGAACCAGTTAGTACTGATGATTAACATTTGTCATATAAAAGAAAGTAGAAAGATTATCAAAAAAGTTCAAAATTATCGGTGTGAGAAAATTAAGAATCAATATTACATTTCGTGTACATAAATAACATATTATAAATTTATTACATTGTGAACTGGTACTTTTGTTATGATTGTTATGATCATTGATGAAGTATAATGAGTATGCTGAAAAAGGATAAACCACAAACCTGAAACTTCAGTGGTTGCTGCAGCAGTAGCAGCAAAACAGAAGGTGATAACAAGCAACAAGGGAACCCCAAAGCGCAATGCGCTATGCAGAGTGGAATGCTTTGTCATTGAGCCACACCACGTTCTTCCAATGAATGCTGAAAAAGGAAAAATGTGTGAAGGCTTGAGTTACACTTGCCCCATACTTGCATATTTATAATAATACCTACCTTTGGTTTCACTCTGCATTAAATGACTATGATTTACTATCTTTTCATATATATATATATATATATATATATATATATATATATATATATATATATATTTAACATGGAAATTAACATGGTGTATTAAGTGATTGACCTACATTTCTCTTGTGATATACTATACTTCTATGAGAGTTTAGATTTAGTTAGAGATCATTATTGGTAGTTGGGAGTGTGTTCAAGATTAGAGTTTAACACCGTTTTTGTAGCTGGGAATGTAAGAGTACTCACTCTAATAAATGAGCCTCATAAGTTAGGTTGGTTTTTCATAAATTGGGGTTTTAGAAGAATATTGCATCAAAATAGGGAAGGTGCAGACTTAGTGGCTTGCCAAATTTCGTATCAATAATATAATATGTGAGCTTGAAAAGATAAGTGAACAGCATCGATATATATGTACGTCTTTTCTTGGTAATGAAATGGAGGACAATTATTTGCGATGAGTTGATGGAATGGTCACAGTACTACCTGAAATAATAATGTTAAAAAATAGTACATTCTCATTTTTACAAAATATAAGATTTAAACTGACATGACTTGGAAAGAAAAAAACATTACTCATTTCATACTTTTGACAGTGAGGTGATGAAGTTGAGGTATAAATATAAACATGGTGGTGTTTACCAAGATAAAGTGGAACATGGTGTGATTGGTAGGACTGGAAGTTGTTAGATTAGAGTTAATGGGAAGAAGTTGATGGTGATAAATGATGTGAAAAAGAGAAATGGAGTTGAGAATGTGGTGTAGATTGAAAGTAGAGAAATAGGAAGAAGATGAAGCATGTGGCATTGTGAGAATTCCAGGCTGGGAAGAAAGTGACACAGCATCTGTCACACTCCAATCACTTGTGATTCAACATAAAAACTGTATGGGAGGTGCACTCTCATCCAATATTAATAACAACGCACTTTTTAATCAACACATCTAATCAATTTAAAATTTATAAACCAGACAATTTAGCATGGTTAGTTTAGATCAATAATTTTGACATTTTATGAACAATAGATTGGACTTTTTATCTATGATTCTTTTGGGTTGGAAAAGTTTTTTATGCATATAAAATTGGTCCTATCGAAATTTATATGTCTGAATTTTTAATCTAGTTATTGATAACGATTTTATTATTTTTGAATTAACCGTGTTCAAGCATTATCATTCTCGTAAGATATGTTGACACATGAGATTGAAATTGCCGAAATTAACTTTTTGATTCAAGAATTAAATAATAATTATAAGATCAAATTCACGTATTTATTAAATGTTGGATAATATTGGGTATACCGGTTTTTGAAGGTATAAATTTATTAATACAGGTCAAATTTTAAGATATTAAAAACTTTTTTAATTATTTGTTTTATCTACAATAAAGTTTTAAAATGACCCCGTGTTAATATAGATGGTAAACCGTGACTTAACCTGATATATTATATATATGAATTGAGTTAGACGAAAAAAAATAATTATAAAATAAAATGAGTCTGACTCATTTAATTCGCAACGGATAAAATAAGTGGATTGACCCGAAATTATTTTTTCAATTATATATATATATCCGTTCTAGTCATTCTTAAATATAAGTATTATAAATAAATTTCATAGAAAAATTAGCACGCAAAATTTTGTAAAAAATATTATACATTTTATTACGTACAATAGATTGTCTATGTCGAATTCTGACAAAATGTTACATGTGAAAAATAAAATAAAATAAATTTGTTTTTAGAAATAAAAATTGCTATTTTTTTTTTCGTCAGAAATACTTCGAACAGATGGTCAACTCAAGATCTAATTCTTTTCATGACAAAAAATATCGAATTGGGTTTTGTCAGTTTGAATAAAGCAAATCTTATATCAGATAAAACTTGGATAAGTTGAAATTTTTGAAGATGGAATGAGTTTTGGAAAGCCAACAAGATGAAATTGTTGCCAAAATAATTGAAAATTATTTTGCTCACTAATTATAATTAAAACCCCTTCGGCCATTGGTTCAGGGAGGTTGCTACTGCATAGTTTTTAAACCTCGTTATCCGATTTAATTTAATAGTAAATTAAACCGAGTCTTACTCACTTAATTCGTAGATTAAACACGTTAGGTTAAAAGTAAGTTAACTTTTTTTTTAATCTTTAATTTTTTATTTTTTTATTTATGTACTAACATAAATCTATGAAAAAAATACCTTAATAAATCAATGTATCTTATCCAACAATATTTATAAATCAATCCACTTTATTCACCTATTTTGTAATTCGAAAAAATTAACAAATAATTAAAAAAAATACATATTTAAATAGGTCAATTCACTTAACTTCCTAATATATAATAAATCAAACCAGATTATAAAATTTTTCGCTCCCTAAAATTCAAGATATGTTTTTAAGTAACGTCAGGTTAGCCAAGTTATCACAAGTTTCATGTACTTCATTAGATCGAAAACTAATGTTGCGATTGTTGCTGATCCAACAGTTTTCATATAATTGGGATCGAGTATTTTTGCTAAATAGATTGTTTTCACAACATACATCATCAACTCATCGAGTTATAAAATAAAATAATATTATAAATATAACTGCAACCAAGATAACAACTGCTATGTTATTCACTATACACCACACCAAGTTCTTTCAGTTTTCTTGGAGTCTACTCTGGAGAAGACATCAAGCTACGATTAATCTACACAAAGTCAATGCAGAATAACAAATAAATGGTTTTGGTTTCAATCTTGAATTCTGATTCTTCTGAAATAAAAAGGAACAACATAGATTACGGAGTAGAGACCATGAAATGCAGATTACAAGCAATCCTAGAATATCATGAGAGAGGTGCTTGTTGGTGGTTATAAGGTATCACTCTCCTCCTGTGGACCTCTCCCTAACAAAGTCATCAAAAAATCTTTGTAGTACCATGAGGTATCCCCTATAACATCATCATCAAGACTGGACTTGTACATGTTAGAATATTCGAATCTCACTTTCAACAGGTCCACTTCTGCACGAGTTACTATGGCTCTGCTGAGTGAATCTTCATCGGTTCCGAGACCAACAATGGAATCTCTTATAACCTTTTAAAAGCCAAAAAATATTAGATTGGAATCAATTTCTGCATTTGAGTATTCTCAAAATGAATGGTACAGTTATACTATATAGTCCTAATGCAGCTGGAAAGAAATTAGAATGTATTAGGAATGTAACACCCACAAATGATAATTAAAATATAAATGTAAGAAATAACCCTCACCTTACACACTAGTTTTATAGGGTTAAATCAAAAACTAAACTTCCAAGATAGCATCATAGACTAGTCTAGCAAATGTAGTAGGATTCTAACGGAATAACTCTAAGTCTATTCTTGCAAATTTCACACTCAATGTTTGTCCTCAAGGTGGGTGGCGTATTGAAGATTTGCAGATGATATGAAGAAACTAAAGTATATGAGTAGAAACAACTATCACCTTACAATCAGGGTTCATAGAATTGAGTTAGATCCAAATCTATATTCTAATAAATGACTATTTTGATTTTCCAAAGATTAAATGCTAAAATGAAATTGATCAAAAACAAACGATTTGATGTCAAAATTTAATATTAGAGAACTGTTTTGATATATTTATTATTGAAGGACCAGGATAGTGACAAATTTTACATATCTAAAGGAACAAAAGTAGATTGTTTTCTTAATGATAAGGAAATAATATATACTAGCCCAGAAAGAAAAGCCAAAAGGGAGGGAGAGAGAAAGAGAGAAACTATGCAGTCATGTAGCTGTGCAATACAAAAAAATATTATTTGACCATTTTTCCATTGAAAAAAGTTCTTTTAAGATCGCAGAGAATAACAAATTGTTGACATGTGCTATGGATGACCAGTACAATTACAGAAGTATAGTGCATAAAAAGGAAACTCAAGCTCATACCATTCCATTTTGCCGGCAATATACAGATTTAAAATAAAATGTCTAAGAATTTCAGAAGTGACTGAATTTTTATGCAGCAAGCATTGTTCAGATTACAGATAAACTTGAACTTGGCTTTGAAAACTAATACTGACAAAGGAAAGGTGCTGAGCAGAAAAAAGATAGGTAGTATCTGTTAGTTGACCTTGTTATAATTTTAAATAAATCATGAAGAGAAGGTACTTGATCAGTAAGTAGATTCTAATGAATTGACACCTTTTTATGATAAAGCTTTAGCATTTAAAAATTGTAGATAATAATGCATTAATTTAAATAAGTCACTGCCTCAGAGAAATTAGTATTTACCTTTGCAAAGTGTTTCTCAGGGCAGTCTATACACAATATCACCAGATGCAAGAGAGTTTCGAAATCACCATTACCACAGTTTTTTATGGCCTGTCAAGAAAATAATCCAAACTCCTTATGGATGCACAAAATATTCATGTGTGTGGAAATCTGATCCACTATCGATGAAATTTTCTAAACTATTAATTTACAAGATATTGTCACATCATTGTAGTAACTAAAGCTTTTAACTTTAGGTGGAAAAAGTTACTTGTTTCCAAACAAGTGACAAGATATAAATCAGTTGCATTGTTCGTGGATAAAAATTAAAATCTTATGTAAGAACCTAAAATTTTAGATCCACTATCGATGAAATTTTCTAAACTATTAATTTACAAGATATTGTCACATCATTGTAGTAACTAAAGCTTTTAACTTTAGGTGAAAAAGTTACTTGTTTCCAAACAAGTGACAAGATATAAATCAGTTGCATTGTTCGTGGATAAAAATTAAAATCTTATGTAAGAACCTAAAATTTTAGAGTAAAACCTGTTCCAATGTATTCCCGTAGAGATCGTTGTAGCATGCAAAAGTTTCCCGGAGCTGGAAAAGATTCCTGGTGCTAA